TGTTAATGGTTATTCCAGATTTGAATGTCGGTGGTGAGGGTGTTAAAATCCTCATTGTGACAAATTAGGAGTCATCAATTAGCTGCGTCCAAGTTTCATTGCAGCCTCCATGAGAAACAAAGGTTTTTTAGGACTGGCTGTGTAGCCAAGAATCCAGATAGAATCACAGAATCATCAAAGGACTAGAAGGGACCTCGGACGTCTTCTAGTCCAACAGCAGGAGACTTCATACCATCCTGGACGGACAGCTGCCCAATCTTTTCTTGAAAACCTCCAGCCATGGAGCACCCACCACCTCGGGAGGCAAGCCGTTCCACTGCTTGATGGTTCTCACCGTCAGGAAATTCCTCCTTATTTCCAGGTTGGATCTCCAACCATCTTGGGTGATGGTTTCCACACATCAGTTCTTGTCCTACCCTCGGGCACAACGGAGAATCCATCGATGCCTCTTCCCTGGGGCAACCCTTCAGATCTTGGAAGACGGCTCTCATGTCTCCCCTCAGTCGCCTCTTCGTTAAGCTCAACATACCTCGTTCTTTTAGAAAGCTGGGCTGAGCCCAGGTCCATGGAGTACAATATTCTCTTTGCAAACATGATCCAGCCAAATGCCTCCAGAAGCTCGTAATCAGGGCCTGATGGTTGTCGAGAGTCCTTCGTTTTTAGCCATCCTTTGTTTCTGAAGACGGACACCCCACTGGCCTGCAATGGCTGTCGGGAGACCTCCTTCCAGAACATCCTCTTGTCCCTGTTTATCGAACTGCTGACTTGGTGTGTCCTTCTGAAGCAAATTGGGGCAACTGAAAAGGAAAAGAAATTACCTTAGTGGATGACAACTAGATAAAGATTTTTTCACACCTCCAAGGCTAGGTGGATGGCTGGGGCAAGATGGCGCCGGTAGCAGGCGGTTAGCGTTCTCCTCCGCCGCGCCGGTTTGCCTCTTGCGATCTTCACCACTATTTCTTTCTATTTTTTCCTCCTTGTTTTTACTTCTTTTCTTTTCTTCCCGTCCCCCCTTCCCCCGATGTTCTGGATCCTTTCTGCCCTCCTTTCCTTACCTTGTGAACGCTCGTTGCCGGATCGAGTGCGGGGCCGCGGGCTGGAGCCAGAGCATAGGCGCGGAGCCGTGGCTGAGTTCGTCCTGGGCTTTTCGGCTTCGGCGCAGCTCGGACGCTCGGGTGCCTGCGGTCCGAAGAAGGTGGCTGTTTGTTGTCTGTGGCGCTTGCCGCTGAAGCGTTTTTTTAGGCTTTTCGTTAGCGGAGAGGTGAAATTCAGAAAAGGAATGTCCTGATGCCAAAAAAGATCCTTAACCCGTAGGACGGGATATCTCGGTTTCCCCAGCATCCTTTTGGGTTACACAGTCCACAGGGAACAAGACCTACAAGGTCAGTGATTGTTGGCTATCATCTGAACCATTGCAAAAAAAAAAGAGTCTCCTGATGATGCAATACATGGCATACTATTTTCGTTGATACTACAGGATATGTACAATTTTGTACTCCTTTTGAAACTCCATTACTAGTTATGAGTTGCTTAGACAACGGGGGTGCTGGATCAAAACAAGCCTGAACTATCTCTGTCGCTCTGTGCCTTCAAGTTGGAAACAACTTATAGTGACCTTAGTAGGGTTTTCAAGGTAAGTGAGATATTTAAGGAGTGGCTTTACCACTTCCATTCCCCAAGCGAGTTTCCCTAGCCAAGTGAGGATTCGAACCCTGTTCTACAGAGTCCCAGTCCATCAGTCTATCTGCTACATCGCTCCGGATTATTATCTATCTCTGGAGGCATAAAGAACAGAACTGATGGTGTCTACTTTGGGCACGTCGTGACAAGGCAGGATTCTCTGGAACAGACAATAATGCTTGGAAAGGTTGAAAGCAGCAGGAAAAGAGGAAGACCTAATACTAGACAGATTATCCTGAAGGAACCTACAGACTTGAGTTGAGCTGATGAGAACTGGACATTTTGGAGATCGCTCGTTCCGTGAGTTGGAGGTGACTTGACAGCAGGTAGCAGCAACACATAAAAACCTCTCAGAGAGAAAAACAGGTCCAGACATGATGTTTGTCACTGGGATAATTTTTTTTGTCCCAGCCAATGTAACATACTACAGAAAAACAGAAAGTCCCACACTCTAACCTTAACCCTCCATAATTTTTGGAAAGTTTTGTTGCGTTCAGTGAATATTCCACAATTCGCTTTGTGCAATTTTTGTTTTT